TGTAGGAAAAGGTTACTGATTGCCCAAGGTTTGAATTCCTGTTGGTAATTATAAGGCATTTGATTTGATTAAGCTAGTTACTTGCTGTTGATTGCTGGTTAATTAGCTGTTGTTTGCAAATAAGCAGAGGCCTACCCAGGTGTTAAACATTCCTAGTGGGCGGTGATTTAAGGAGTTATATAAGGCTTGGTCTCATTAGCTTGTCTAATATAGCTTGGTGCTACTTCCAAGTGCAGTTTCTAAGTGTGTAGTTGGAGATATTCTGGAGAGTTTTACAGAAGCTTCAGTGTCTAAGAGTTGTGCTAAGAGCTTTCTTTTCTACTGTTACAGGTAAGATTCATCTGTAGGAAAAGGTTACTGATTGCACAAGGTTTGAATTCCTGTTGGTAATTATAAGGCATTTGATTTGATTAAGCTAGTTACTTGCTGTTGATTGCTGGTTAATTAGCTATTGTTTGCAAATAAGCAGAGGCCTACCCAGGTGTTAAACATTCCTAGTGGGCGGTGATTTAAGGAGTTATATAAGGCTTGGTCTCATTAGCTTGTCTAATATAGCTTGGTGCTACTTCCAAGTGCAGTTTCTAAGGGTCTAGTTGGAGATATTCTAGAGAGTGCTGTTTCTAAGTGTCTAGTTGGAGATATTCTAGAGAGTGCTGTTTCTAAGTGTGTAGTTGGAGATATTCTGGAGATAACCTGGAGGTAATCTGAGGTATTCAGGAGGATAAAGAAAAAAGTTTAGATTTGTTAGATTTAAATTATTCTCATAATTGGAATGGCAGGCTTAGTTCAGTGTAACAATTGCTATGCATTTGTTTCACGTTCCACTTTTTGGAGGTTTGGTTGTTGTCTTATCTGTAGACAGTTCTCTATCTTGCGGCAGGAGATTGTATTTTTGAAGTCTGAGATTTGTAAATTATCTGGTGAAGAAACTCAGACTGGAACTGCTGCAAAGCCACTGCCGCAGAGACATGCTAGGAAAGGCAGATGGATTACTGTAGGATCTAGTAGACTTAGAGTTGTGGATAAAAGGCATTTTGCACAGTCTGTTGCTCTTCATAATTCATTTTCTGCACTTTCAGAGTGTAATGGTGTTGTGGAGAGAGGCACTGAGGCTAGTGGTGTTGTGGAGAGAGGCACTGAGGCTAGTGGTGTTGTGGAGAGAGGCACTGAGGCTAGTGGTGTTGTGGAGAGAGGCACTGAGACTAGTGGTGTTGTAGAGAGAGGCACTGAGGCTAGTGGTGCTGTGGAGAGAGGCACTAAGACTAGTGGTGTTGTAGAGAGAGGCACTGAGGCTAGTGGTGTTGTGGAGAGAGGCACTAAGACTAGTGGTGTTGTAGAGAGAGTCACTGAGGATAGTGGTGTTGTGGAGAGAGGCACTGAGGCTAGTGGTGTTGTGGAGAGAGGCACTAAGACTAGTGGTGTTGTGGAGAGAGGCACTAAGACTAGTGGTGTTGTAGAGAGAGTCACTGAGGATAGTGATGTTGTGGAGAGAGTCACTGAGGATAGTGATGTTGTGGAGAGAGGCACTGAGGCTAGTGGTGTTGTGGAGAGAGGCACTGAGGCTAGGGTTGTTGTGGAGAGAGGCACTGAGACTAGTGGTGTTGTGGAGACCAGCTTGGAGACTATGGTGAGGCCTAATAGAAAGCAGTTGTTGTTGGGTGATTCCATTATAAGAGGTGTGGAGATGGACAATGGTGGTCTTGTGAGGTGTCTTCCTGGAGCTACTGCTCACAGAGACAGGAGACGTATCTGTAATATTGTTAAGCAAGCAAAGAAGGAAGGGGAATTGGATGTACTTGTCCATCTAGGGACAAATGACTTAGCTTGCAATGAGGTTTCAGAGGTTAAGGAAGTTTTTAGTGTTTTTGCCAATGATATACGGCAGGTTGCTTCCACACTGTCATTCTCTGAAGTTCTGCCTGTACATAACACTCAGAACGACAGGCGGATGCGTATTAGGGACTTTAATTTGTGGCTTGGTGAATGGTGTCGGGAGCAAGGATTTGGCTTTATTTCTCATGGTAGCTCTGTTTGGAATGGAGATAAGCTGTACAAAAGAGATGGTTTGCATCTTTCTCAAAAGGGAACAAATGTTCTCAGTGAGCAGTTCAGAGGTTTTGCTAGGATGTATTTAAACTAGGAGGGGGGGGCAAAAGGGTGATAAAACATCAATCCAATTGTCCCCCAAAGCAAGGACAGAAGGTGCCTGTAGCAAGTGTGTTAAAAAATGATAAGCTTAGAGTCATGTCTACAAATGCTCGCAGTTTAGGGGCCGAGATGAACTTGTAGCAATAGCTAGCAGCTGATGAGTGCTTAGATTTAAGTAGCTGTTGCACAGGACATGGTGCAATGAGAGAGAAAATGACTGGGACATATAATACCAGGGTACTCTTTTATATAGGAAGATAGGAAGGCAAAGAGGGGGAGGGTGGCGCTTGTATGTGAAAGGATAGCATAAAATCTAGCCTAGCCCATAAAAGTTAGGTAAAGGCAAACATAGAGGCCGTTTGGGCTTTCGTTAGAATTTGGTAATCACACAGTAACTCGTGTAGGTGTGATTTATAGGCCCCTAGGACAAATTGAAGAGTTAGATAATCTACTAGTTGAGGAAATAGCTAAATGACAATGAAGGGGGAAGTTATCATCATGGGTGACTTTAATCTTCCTGATGTAAATTGGAAAACAAAATTAGCTACTTGTGCCAGGAGCACATATTCTAAACTCCCTACTGGGATTGTCTCTAAAACAAGTTGTTGAGGAGCCAACTCGTAAAGAGGCCATACTAGATTTAGTGTTAACAAATGGAGATTTGGTATCAGATATTACTGTAGGTGAAAGTTTGGGATCCAGTGATCATCAGTCAGTGTGGTTTAATATAAGAACAGTGACTGAGTCACACCACACAAAAACAAAAGTTTTTAGACTTTAGAAAAACAGACTTTTCTAAAATTAGAATATCGGTAGAGGAGTCATTATCAGACTGGAGCAATTTAAATGGAGTCCAAGAAAAATGGGATTATTTAAAAGTTGCACTATTGAAGGCAACAGAAAATTGCATTAGGCTTGTCAGTAAAAGCAAAAAATTCAAGAAACCACTGTGGTACTCCACAAATGTGGCCAAAATAGTTAAAAACAAAAAAGTTAGCATTTAGAAATTATAAAAAAAAACAGAATGAGGAAGACAAAATGATCTATAAGATTAGGCAGAAAGAGGCTAAGCAAGTTATAAGAGCTTCCAAATCACACACAGAAGAGAAAATAGCACAGTCAGTAAAAAAAGGGGACAAAACATTTTTTAGATACATAAATGAGAAAAAGAAAGTAAAACAAGGATTAGTTAGATTAAAAACAAAAGAAGGAAGGTATGTAGAAGAGGATAAGGTCAGGCCTGACTGCCTCAATGGAGTATTTTTATTTCTGTATTTACAGAGAAGAATATGAAGGGAAAGAAGGGACCTCAGTTGAGAAAAGGATAAATGAGTCATTTATTACGTGAGAGTTTACAGAGGAAGAGGTTCTATTTCAACTGCTTCAAAGTAAAGACAAATAATAAGTCAATAGGACCCCTGATGGAATACACCCCGAAAACTATTAAAAGGAAAGCAGTGATGGTGTACTAGCAAAACCATTAACAAAAAGATTTATTTGGCAATCATTGTTAACAGGAGTAGTCCCAGAAGATTAGAAGTTAGCGAATGTTGTATCCATTCACAAGAAAGGTAATAGGGAGGAGTCGGGCAACTATAGGCCAGTAAGCCTTACTTCAGTAGTGGGGAAAGTGATGGAAACCATGTTAAAGGATAGAATTGATGAACATCTAAAAACACATGGATTTCAAGATCAGAGACAACATGGGTTTACTTCAAGGAGATCATGCCAAACTAATCTTATTGATTTTTTTGATTGGGTAACTAAAATTACAGATCAGGGTGGTGCAGTAGACATTGCTTACCTAGATTTCAGTAAGGCTTTTGACACTGTTGCACATAGAAGGCTTATCAATAAACTGCAATCTTTAAGTTTGGATTCAAATATTGTTGAATAGGTAAGGCAGTGGCTGAGTGGCAGGCAACAGAGGGTTGTAGTTAATGGAATATATTCGAAACTTGGACTTGTCACCAGTGAGGTACCTCAGGGATCTGTACTTGGA